AAAAAAAAAAAAAAAAAAAAAAAAAAAAAATAAAGATATTATGATCAATGACAAATAACAAGTATTTTACTGCGTTATATCAGTAAATATAGCAAGCAAGGTTGCCCTATAGCAAACTAGCACATAAAAATGTAAAAGATAAAGATTTAACGTAGTTAAATAAATATGCATTAGTTAAGCTAAATATTAAATTATTATAAATGTTAACCTTGTAATCAATGCTATAGGCACTAAATAGGCACAATTATTAGTATCATTTTGACAGTACTTTAAAATACATTTAGGTACTTATGAATAATCTTGGCCTTAAAAAACAAAACAACTGCAAACTTTTGGTACAACATGGATGAAAAGAAGAACAGAAATGAATCCTTTTCACAAAAACTTATATACATACAAACAGTGATACCAGCAAAAAACATATTTCTATGATCAAAAGTAATTACGAATACATCACTATTTTTGCAAAATATGCAAATTATGTAGTATGTTATGATAAGCTCTCCTTAACCAATATGAGTATTTCCATCCATTACGTAAGTTATAACAAACATCAAGAACTTTCTGTTGAATTTTTCTAAAATGACAAAATTTCCATGACACATTTCCATGCATTCTATTGAATAATAGTAAACTTTGCATTGTTCTAAACATACATAAAACTAGAAACTTCAATGCAGTCTTTATATTCATTAAAAAATAAATGATTTCGCGCATACACATATTAGTATGAATATACCAATATGTGAGATATTATTTACGTATATGGATCTCACATATATTTGTAAATGTTTTTCAACAGCAAAATAAACGTAAAGTGGGAAAAGTTTAAGGCACATAAACATCGGGTAAGTTAACCAAACATAATTATGCGATAATAGCAGAAAAGAAAAATTGCATCACTTTTGATATACAATTACAACCTTCTCAACGAAGCCATACTGAGGGAACTGCATTTCGCCTTTCGTGTCGGTTGAACCGACATAGGTGCTACTAGAACATCATCTCTAGATGGCGAGCCTGAACCACCATTACCCAGCTCCTGGAAAGATACACGAATAACCATTTATCCTATTCATAAATACAACTGCAAAAAAATATACCAAAAGGAATTAAAACAATACTGGTTATATTAATCACATTGGTTAAACAAAATAAATTAAGACATTTAAACATTTAATTCACACTTGAAGCATAATAAATAAAAAATGAAAGGATAAATTAATAATAAAAATTACTAATAATACATCATGCAAGTTTATAGGTATTATGAAAAAAGAAATACTTGATATTTTTTCTCATTGCAAATATATTTTACAAAAAAAAGAAAAAGAAGAAAACAACAAAAAGGAATCCAGCCTTATTGATCTGTTTACTGTAAGCGATAACAAGAAAAAAAAAGAGAAACGTAAAAATCTGTTGATACAAAATACCTCTATTAGGGCAAAGTTAAGTAGAATCTGTTCTGAGAAAATCGCCTTAATCGTGAATAACATAAGTTTAATCTTTTTTATCTAATTTGTGACGCGAAGTATTTTAATCCAGTCGAAACACTGTGTGACGTCACATTCCTAGAACGAATTTTGTCTGTTGAAAGTAGGATTCTACTAACCCTCCTCTCTACTCCCTTTCACGAGAGGAGATATTAAATAACATTAGTATTTCCTATATATTCTAGAGCAGATATTAATAAGCACTTTAATACTACATTATTCAGCAAATATTCATTAAAAGTAAAGGCATTAGTAAGTATACTTACGTGATAGGGAATGAAAATTTATCCATTAACATTATATCAGCATAAGCATAGATTGTATCAAAACAAACCATAGCAAAAGGGACATAATTCACATACACTATGGATAAATCGATGTGACTTATAAAATAAAAAATTAAACAGAGCAATATATTAAAATAAACATAAGAAAATAATATATTATAATGTATATACAATAAATTAATCTCCCTAAACATCTAAATGTTGGCTTAAAATAAAAAAAAAAAACGAGAAATAAAATAACTTGTTTCAATGTTACAATACCAAATATTCATATAATTTTATGTTATCAAAATATATACAAGAAGAAAATATAAATGACAGAATAGTTTTACAATCATGCATTTAAGCAATCTTCAATAAAAACAATAAAAATAGGGATTGCAAATTGTAATGAAACACAAATTATAAAGATATCACAGTTATAAAAAACAAATTCATTTAAAGTATTAAACATATTTTGACCAGTATGAAAGAGATAACAATCTCCTGTCGTGAAATGAAAGTAAGCAAGGAGAAATGAAAAAAGTAGCATAAGCATATAATAATGAAAGATGCATGCGATAATAAACTGTCAACTAACGTTAATGTTGTTGCAACTAGCGAGCCGCATCTGTGCAAGTTGTTGACTTGCTGGCGTTAGACTATTGGTTGACCCAAATGGTGACATCATTGTTGACATTGCCCTCTTTAATTTACTTGGAGTTTTGTTAAAACTAAACGCTCTGCCGACTTTCATCCTTGTACGAGATGCAAACCTGAAGAAAAATAATTGTTACAAATTTACTTCAATTTGAATACCTAGACAAAAAACAAAAGCAGTATTGAAATTTTATTTTCCTTTGATACTTTACATTAATTCAACTACATAAATTAAAATAATTTTTTCATGTAATGTAGCAATTTTTATATACAATTAAACAGAGGAAAATAAATTTTCTAGCAAACAAAGGAATTAGCAAACTTAAATAAAACCCCAAACCTTAATAAACCAGTTCAAGTAAATATTACACCATAATAATTTTTAATATACATGCAAAAACTGAATACAATTTATCAGTAGTCTTAGATCTTTCCATGCTGAACTATTAAAAAGAATTATATCACAACTGCAAACCTATATTATAAATATAAGAATATATAAATAGGGCTTAATTGTGAGGTTACAGAGTTTTGTAAATTACTAAATTTTTTGTATAGCTCATGAAATAAAAACAAAAATAATCAAAATGCACTAGTAATGCATAATTGTAAGTAGTGCTATAAACTTAACCCCTTAATAATTAAGCAGAATAGAACTTTAGCTATATACATAAATGCTATTTTAGTTTATTACTCGGAAAAAAAAAAAGAAAAGAAAGAGAGAAACTTAACAATTGTACTTTTTAGGAAATTTGTCAATATAAAAAATTTAATTAAAAAATTATTTTAATTAAGTAAATTCAGAATCTTTTCCTATATAATCACTTCTTACTATTATTATTTATTTCATCAATTTTTATACAAAACAAAACAAAAAAAAATTATAATTAAATTCAACTTTTTAATCATATGATTCTGCTTGTTACTGCATCAATCAATATTATTATTTGATATTTTAATTTAAGACTTTGTTTTATTTTAAATGTTATTATTAATACTAAGAAGTTACGTTCAAACAAATAACAAACTTTAACTAAAACATTATTCAGTGTAATAACTAATATATATTATTTTTATGTTGATATCATCAATCTGTAAAAAATCTAAAAGTTATACAAAGTATAAAGTTATTAAGGGGTTAAATAGATATGTATTAAATATTTTAATCGTTTAATATTAATTATTTTAAACAGGCTGATATTATCAATATTACGCTTGAACTGGTGAAACTTTTTTTGTAAACTATTCAATTTTCTATATTTTGACATCAGAGAATGAAATTGATTTGAACAAGCGGGAACAAAGGACCAAAGCGAGTAAAAAAAAGATAATCAGCCTGGTGCGAAAACTGACGGTAGTGGGACATGTAACGTGGTTTCACACATGCTATTGAGTAGGAACACATACGGGTCCATATACTCCAGGTAAAAATTATGAAATAGGCTCCTGCAACCAAACGAGTCGTCGCCCCATTATTTTTTGTTAACATGCAATACAGGAGAAAAACAGTTTAGAACACCTGATAATTCTTCCCTTCACAAATATGCATATTCTTTTTCTATAAAAATTTCTACTTTATCAAATAAGTTCATACTAATTTTTATATAATGTATAATATAAATATGAAAAACGCGATAATTTTATTTTTAGTGTAACCTAAATATAGATAAATTAAAAGACTGCTGCAGTTCAGCAAAACTTAGTAGCAATGCAGGAAAGTATGTTGAAAGCTAAGCTATTCTAAGAAAATAGTACTAATTAATTATTTATTATTTTTTATATATAATAAATTTTTCTAATTTATCTAAATAAAAAAATCATATTTTCAAAAATGTTCCTCTACAAAACTGTAAATATCTTTATCATATTTCCAAAATTTAAAGTTGTATTTATCTGAAATAATGTTTAATGTATAATATAATATTATTACATTATACATATAATGTAAATATAAAATAGTGAAGTTACAGTTATGTGAGAAATACAATTATTTGAGATATTAACACTGTACAAAAAATACCGATTAAGTTTCAATTACTTACTTAAATGCTTTACTTAATGTTCCTAATGCTACATCGCTTGTGTCAATTTCAAGTTGATGCGAATCAAGACTTATCAGGAACGTATCCTACAAATAACAAAAAAACAAAAATACTAGTGCTAATAGATTGCATTTAATATATATATACAATAAAAATATATATTAATCGTTTGAGTGCCAAGCGGCGCGATCGCGCTTCTTCTATTTTGTGTCCAAAAGTGCCAGCGCTCTGGGCTGCGAAGCCGACAATCATAGCGCGCTCGGTTGGTGGACGCGGAATATGAGAAACACTATCGCGCCGCTCGGCATTTTTGGACACGGAATTTGACAAGCGCTATCGCGCCGCTGGGTAATTTTCGATTGGGAAAATGTGGCACTCAAACGGTTAACCGAACAAAAATCAGAATATGTCAAAAGTAAATTTTTCGTAAATCAAACACCAAAACTTACCGCATCAGCTTTGCACACTGTGTTAGCCATTTGTCGACATAATGTTCGTAAATAATTTGTTTTATTTACTTCCTCATCAGTAATTGTAAATGAAAATAACTTTTCCTTTAGTTCTTGATTACTTCTTACCATTAAAGCAAACACTTTATGACATTCTATAAATATATAAAACAGTAGGTAGTAGTAAGAATGTAGTTTTCTCATTTTTTTTTTCTATATATTTATATTTTATTGAACATGTGATCAGGTATTGAACTTCTTATAAATATTATGTATAGTTTTAAAGTATAATTTTATTAAATATTTAATAAATCAATCTAATTTTATTTCTCAATTAAACATTTGTAATATTGCACATTATCGACTTACCATCAGTTTCTCGTATATCTACAACTTTTTTTATTGTACTAAGAGATAACATCTTGATATGTTTATATGGTTTCCCTTGACTCAATTTAGTTGTATGCAATCCATTTGCTGTATTAGGGCTTTTCAATGAATTAAAAGCTTTTGACCTTTTCTTACATATTTCAAGAGTATCAGTAAACAAAAACAAAACTAAATGGTCGCCACGTCCACTTAAACCCTCACTGAGTTCCATCACATCACATTTGCCAATAAATGATCGATGTGAAGAAACTAAATGCGGCGGACAATTGTCAATTTCATTGAAAATATCAAACATAACTAATTGGCCTTCAGTTTTTCTTTTATCCTCGTTTATATAAGTCATAACTTCTTTAATACTGCTAATTGACAACTCCAATGCACTATGATCAGGATTATTTTTACTTGTATGTTTAAGGATATCTGAAATTCATTAATATGTGTAAATATTAATTAATATAATTTACTATTATGGAGATTCATTAAATAACTGTAGTAAATGTACTTGCCATTTAATAATAAACTAATACTGGGTAACCTTTGTACTGGTTTAATTAATAACTCCTTCAAGCTTTGTCTTCCACATTCAGGTTTCGTCTGACAAACCTTCAGAAAAGCGTGAAATCGTGGTTTATTTTGATCACATTGGTCGAGCATCTCCTTTGTATTTTCGAAGAAGTTGACATACGGTGGATACGCCTTGACTAGGTCAGGTGCGAACTTCAGAAATATATTACCTATACTAATGTCCTCCATCCAGTGAGTAGCACTGTATCTCAATTCTTCCAACATTTTTTTATGAACTTCATAAATGGGTGGGAAGTTACCAAATACAATTTTAGCTTCTGTACCATTTAACAACTCATCAGTTGTATCTATGAGATCTTCTAATGGAGACTTAAACAGCTAAAATCATTAATAACATTACATTCCCCAAGTATGTTAATTTAATATTTATTTCAGCACAGTAAAGAAACCACAATAGGTCTTACCGTCATAATTGTACTGAGAATACCGACATAATTAGACTCTGTTTGTACTAATTCTAAGAAAACTTGATGACGTGGTGATAAATTTTTCCTAGAGCTGTCTGTATTAACAGCTTCCACTTCTGGAATATCTGATAGTTATTATTAAATCAATTTTATATAATCTTCCCCTTCATATGGTTCATATTAGATATTATTAATTAACAGAATTAAGTCGAAAAAATTTAATTATATATATTGTTAGTATAATCGTGTTAAAGAAGATAAATACAAAAATAGAATACTTTGCTCAATAAAACAAATGAACCACAAAGGAAGGGAAGATGTAATAGGATTGTTAAGAAAACATTAAAAATATTTCGCAAACGACAGTTAAGTAATAGTTATAGGATACTTAAGAAAAAAAAAAGAGACAACATGATAAATCTAAATAAGAAACCAATAAAAATGTATAATTGTCTCTTTAAAAAAACTAACCATCAAGCAGTGGTTTATCTGGACTTGTTGTACAATCAAGGAAACTTCCACTGACACTCAAATGTCCTGCATCACTGATGCTAGATCGTCTTTTATGTAGTGCTGGAGAATCTGCACCATTTTGAACCAGACTAGACAAAGTATCTGCTAAGCGTTTACGTTTTCGTCTTGTAGATGCTGTACTTGGAGTTGCAGCTTGTTGACTATCACGTCTAGCTGATACAGTTGGCGATAAAACGGATTCCAAATACTAAGTATAAAATAAATAATTAAGGTCAAAGAGCATTTGAAATTATCTTAACATACTTACGTCTTCAAACAAATATTCTTTTTCATCAGCTGCACCCTCATTTTGCACAGATGTCCAAAACCACTCTGCTTTTACAATATGAGCTCTCACAGAAGCTAAATCTGGCAATGCATTTACGTTTGATTCATCTACAACCTAAAATAATAGGAACTTATCATAATTTAAGTCATTTTTGTGATTAGTACCTACAGACAAATAAAATACACATATATTGAAATATATATAATACATAAATTCTATTAGTTTCTTCTCTATCATAACAAAAAACATATTATGGTGTACTATATATATATATTTAAAACATGTATAAAAAATGAAATACGAATTATATAATTTGTTATTACTACAGACTGAAAATACACAGTTTAATACATCACAAATATAACAAAAAAATAACAATATCCTATATTGAAATTACAATACTTTAAGGTTACATATAAAATATTCATAAATAAACATTTTACATTTAATAATTTCTACGTTTAAGATTAAAATACCCTAATACTTCCATCTCTACATCATATTTCTACTTGTCTACAACTTGTCAATCAATTTGAGCAGGTTATTAAGTTATTTTTAATTCCACAACCTAATATAATACCCCATTAAAAAAAGGAAAAGTACCAAAGATAATGGCTTGTCCTTCTGTTTGTCCAGTTTCATATGATCACCTTTTAGAATACAACTTTTAGAAGAAATATTCAAATAACTTTCATCTGATGTAAAAGTACTTCTGGAGCCATATTCAGAATTTGATAATTTTGCTACCTTAGCAGGGATAGGAAGAGGACTAGGTAAAGGAGTATATTTTTGTTTTTGATGCGTTTCTGAATTTTGTTGACATGGATTAACAAGAACATACTGTTTAAATATTGAAGAAAAATTTAAATGACTAAGCTTTGATAAAATAGATGAACTCAGTTTACATGTACTTAGAAAATTTCTATTTCTAGTCATTGGTGTAGGTGAATCATATAAAAGAGAATCATTAAGTTCTAAATCATATTGTCTTAGTAAGTTAGGATAAGAATGCATTTTTTTAAATTTATATTTATCCGGAGAGTTAATTTTATGGATTGTAATACAAGACTTAGCTCTCCGCCATTTAACGTATCGTTTAGGAGTTATAATTCTTTTGTTAAGAAAGAAAGAACTTCGTGTACACTGTGTATTCTTAAAAAACTTTAATAAATGAGTTTCTCTATTAGAACATTGTTTGTTTACATGTTGGGTAATGTTCTTTTTGCATAATGTAGAAGATTTAAAATTATATAATCCTGGATGAGTGTACACATTTTCATCATCTGTGTTATAATTTGAAAAAGCAGATATACTACTTGTATCCTTTTTATCATTGCACAGTAATGAAGATGAAGATATAGAATGCATGTCCAACATAGTAGATGTAACAGGAAAATTACTTTGTTGTAATGTATTTATATCATTTGTTTCTATTACATTAGACATATCAACACCAGAATCAGTTCGGCCTATAGAAAATTCAGACATGCTACAAAATTCATCAGGTAAATTTGGATAATCATATACATTATCATCCATACATATTGCAGAATCCTGACTAATATCATTTAGGATGGAATAATTATACTTATTTTCTTTATGTTCAAGATAATGAGGAACACAAGAACAGAAACAATGTGAAAAGCGTCTGGTACTCAGTTTTTTAGTCAAGTTCATATTACTAGCGCGAGAAGTATATGAATTTATCTTTTTCATGTTAGGAATTGTATTAGTATATGGATTATAAAAAGTAAAGGAAAATGGTTTTGTTTTCATGTGATATGGAATATAATTAGGATTTTTAGTATGTGGTAGCATGTCAAAAGTATTATTTGATTTCTTGTACCGATGACTTCCTAAATCTGTTACCTAAAGAATTTAGTACATGTTTGTATTATATGCTGAATAATATCAAGAAAATATAGAATATTTTACAAAGTTATCTGAAATATGGTATTATATAAGCTTACCACATGTGTACAATTTGGATCATCAATTTCTGTAGATTCACCACCTTGTTGTTGTAAAACTTCATACATATGACGCTTTTCTTCTTCAGGGAAACCAAAGAAACATACTCTTGCACCGAAAAATGGTTTTAACTTATACGTTGTAATCTGCATAAAAATAACTAATTTAATGCACTCAGTGTGTTATTTGCAACCAAATTTTAAATGTCTTTTTTTCCATCCTTATTAAATAATCAATTAGTATTAACAAAAATAAATAAATATTATTAAGAAATTGTTATAGTAAATAATAAAAATATTAGAAAATACAACTATTACCAGTTCTTCATTATTTCCATAACTGGAAATATCGTCTTTGGCATTCCACAATGCTGTTACCCACTCCATTGACATAATAGGAACCCGAAATGTAACAGCATACCTGTACTTATCTCCACCGCAACAATTAGCAATGAGATGTGTCACCTTTGCACCCATTTCTTTTCTAATACTTCCTCCCATATTATGAATCATATTAATCAACTTAGTCTACAAAATTAAAAATTAACATTTTGAGATTACTATATCTATTACTATGTAAATTATTTAAATTAATAAATTGAAGCTAACCAATTCATCCTTTTTCCTAAATCCAGTAAACACTACCACTGTGCCTACCATAGCTTGTGTATACATTGGTCTATTAATACTAGGTAGTGAGTCCTTTTTTTCTGCCAACTGCAGAAGTGCCGTCGGTCCCAGTATTCTACAATATGTTAAATTAAACCAACCAAAAGTCAGATTCTTTTGATTATATCTCAATGCATTAAAAAGTACATAAAATCAAATATGACGAACCTATGTGCACTTTTGTGAAGAGCATCATATTCAGGTCCCTCAAACTTCTTTAATATAAAGTAAGTACAATATGTTGTGTCTTCTATATGCTCCAAACCAGTCTCAGATTTGAGAACAGGTACACTAAACTGCTGAGCAGCAGCACCAAGTGCAGGATCATCGCCAGCTGCACCAATTAAACATATCCTTTTCTTACGTGGTATAATCACAGCTAAAAATCAAACAAAAAAGTATATAAATCAAATTTGTATTAATAATATGTAATAAAATAATGTTATTCATAATATTTCATTTAATAATTAAATATTTTGCAAACATTATATTAATTTATTAAATTAATTTTAAAGTTATAAATAATTTTATAATATATAAAATAATAAAATTTATAATCACTTTCTTTTTTAATTCAATTT